AAAAATGTAAGACAAAGCTACTCATACTCAGTAAATTTTTTTGTTTTAGAACGGTTATTTTGGCTCAGTGATTGAGTGTGGACCTATGAGCCAGGAGGTTGAAGTTTGATTCCTGGTCAGAGCACATGCCGGGGTTGCAGGTTCCATCCCTAGTGATGATTCTCTCTCATCGTTGATGTTTTTATCTCTCCCTTCCTTTCTAAAATCAATAAAACTATATTTTAAAAAAGAGGAAAGGTTATTTTGAGTTAATAAATATTTTGAAGTTTTGAAGATTTAATATCAAATAATATAAATACACGTAGAACTATTTATACATAATCTTGGCAGTCCTTAAATTGGATATAAAGGGGCCCTTTTACAAAAAAAGTTTGAGAAGCTGAAATATAGTTTTATTTAGTAAACACTTTTCAGTACTGTGGCCACTAGCCACATGAGGTTATTGAGTACATAAATGTGGGTTAGAAACTGAATTTAAAAATTTTTAAAATTAATTTAAATGTAAAAACTGAAGCAATGAAAAACTTTGTCAGTTACATGTTGAAATGACATTATCTTGGATATACCGTGTTAAATGAAAGGTATTCATTTCACCTTCTTTTAATGTGGTTACTGGAAATTTAAAACATGAGCTACATGTAGCTCATGTTATATATATATATATATTTATTGATTTCAGTAAGGAAGGGTAAGGGAGAGAGAGAAACATCAATGATGAGAATCATTGATCAGCTGCCTCCCGCATGCCTCACATTGGGGATTGAGCTTGAAATTGGGGTATGTGTCCTGACAGGGAATCAAACCGTGTAATCTCCTGGCTCATAGGTCCACACTCAACCACTGAGCCAAACCAGCCAGGCTCATGTGATGTTTTTATCAGACAGCTCTACTTTAGAAAAACAATTTTATTTTCTTTCCCTTTTCAACCTTATAACAACTATTGATGAGAAAGTTAAAGGGGATCAGGTAAAGATGAGAGTGTCCCAGGTCTTTATCTTTTCCCTCCTTTCATAGCATTCAATCATACATAGCCTTAGGGCATTAGAGGATAAGGTGTGGTAGGTCAGATAGTTGAGTGATGACCTTGTAATGTTAGTTTATGGTCTTGCTTGTAGTGGGATACCAGTATCACCTAATGAAGTGTTTTCTGATTTTTTCCCATTGCTCTCAAGTTAAATTGCTATTAAGTTACATTTTTTACTTTTAAGAACATTGTTATGAACTAGGTCCATTGCCAGCATTCTCTTCTGCAAAGTTGAGAGGTATGTCTCTTGTCAGACTTAATTACCAAGTTTGGTATTTAGTAACAGCTGTTGAGTGAGTCTGGAATAATCTACCATACAAACACCAGTTGATTAGAAAGCTAGAAACGGAACAAGAAGACCTCTTACCAACGGTAAAAGAAGGCATAAGCAAATTTAATGGCTCGATGATTAAAATTAAAATAGTTTTGAAATTTATTTGGAAGATTTATTTCTTCAAGGAGTATTTACCAGCAACACCAACTACTAGTGTTAACTAGAAAATATCTCTTAGATTACTTTTAGCTTCATTGTTTCTATTTTTAAAATGTGTTGCTTATTATTTTCTCCCACAGTTTTTTTTTTTTAATATATTTTATTGATTTTTTACAGAGAGGAAAGGAGAGAGATAGAGAGCTAGAAACGTCAATGAAAGAGAAACATTGACCAGCTGCCTCTTTTGCACACCCCCTGCCGGGGATGTGCCCGCAACCAATGTACATGCCCTTGACCAGAATCGAACCTTTCAGTCCGCAGACCGATGCTCTACCACTGAGCCAAACCGGTTTCGGCTCCCACAGTTTTTATACATAGGTTTAGAAAGACTCCAGCAAGTCAGGTTTTACATGAGGAAAAAGGAATTTTCAGCCATTGTTTATAGTTTGCTTACTTTGATTACACAAAATTGTTAAATTTATGTTTATCCTTAAGAGTTGTGTAAAACTTTTAGTTTAAATTATGTTTGAATTATTGAGCAGAACATCTAGTATTAAAATTAAAAAAAAAATTACAGAAACTTGCCGAAACCGGTTTGGCTCAGTGGATAGAGCATCGGCCTGCAGACAGAAAGGTCCTGGGTTCGATTTCCATCAAGGCATATACCTTGGTTGCGGGCATATCCCCAGTAGGGGGTGTGCAAGAGGCAACTGGTCGATGATTCTCTCTCAATGTTTCTAGCTCTCTATCCCTCTCTCTTCCTCTCTGTAAAAAAAATCAATAAAATATATATTTTTAAAAATTACAGAAACTTGAAGAGGAGAAATATCTTTTAAGTTTCTGTTATAAAAATGACTTGTTGAATTACATCAATGAAAGAAAAGAGAAGTGGGGTGGAGGACAAATATGTGATACCTTAATCAGTAAAGAAATTTTTAAAGAAAGAAAAGGGAAAAGATAATAAGTGTCACTTTTTACAAAATGGGTGAAATATTCTTGGAAACTATCATGGGTACATTGCTGTAAATTGATCTAAGTGTGAGTTCTTAGGTGTTCATTTTTTAAATAGGTACTTAGGGTTATTTTAGTAAGTAAAAATGACAAAAAATAAAATAAGCATAAAAAAAGGAAATCAACACTTCTTTTAAACCAACTTAGCTTACAGAGTAACTTTAAATTAATTTTGCTCTTTCATTTAGCTTTGAAATATTTTCCTTCCATTTATATTTTGTCATTCTCTAGCTACACGAGGCCAGTGATCTAGTTATACTTATATCAGTTTTATGGCATAGGGACTGGTACACTGTGAGAAATGCTCAATAACCATTTGTTGATTGTTTATAAGAATATTAGATCTTCTGATTGATATTTCACTAGAAAATTTATGTATATTCTCATCTTAAATTTAAAGTATGAATAAATAAGTTTCTTAAATTTGTATGTATTTTATTTGTTTTAATCTGAAAATATAAATTTTCTGGGAAAATATAATATGTTGAGATCAGAAATATAGGCAAGAAAATAATTTCCACTGATATAATATGAAATCATGGTCTTGAAAATGTACCTCAAACTACTTAAGAACTTGGCAACATAATGGATAATTGCTAGACATATTTTGTTTGTTTTATAGCTTGAAAATCTGATAAAATTCTATTGCTGTATTATCATCAAATACTTGAAGCTCTGATTTTAATACGGTAGTTTTTAGGGTATGTCTTAATACAATTACATAAGGAATTAGTTTACCCTGGATGGTTTATTAATAGCAGCTAAGACAACAGCTAAGTTGCAACACAAGCAGACCTTGAAGAGAATGGAGTTTCTGGTATAAATTTTAAAAACTTAAGAATTTGCTTAACAGAGTTCTTTAGTGTATGTGAGTATTATAGGGAGGTACTTTGAAAAATATACTTGAGACTTGTAGTATATTTATACTTACTAATACTTAGTTGAGCTGGAAGGACTGATTGAATCCTTTGCTTCAGTGAAGCTGCAGATGATAAGAGTAAGCAGGGTCACCTAAAGATAGATTTACTTAGAGGTTTGGCTGCCTCTCTGGAACCGGTCAGCTTTGAGCAGATTTCCATAAATGGACAGAGCAACTGGAGAGACCCAGTACCTTGGTTGAGAGTGTGGATGATGTGCAACAGGTGGTAAAAACAGTCAGTGGATTTTTTTAATAAATGCTCTCCAAATGACTGGTGTTTAAGGCTGAGCATTTGGGGAATTTTGAGACTAAGTGAATTTTTTTTTCTTCATTTAAAAGTTTTCTGGAAACAGTTTTAAAAGATTCATATTTTTAGTGTATAGAACTTATGGATTTCTAATACGGTTTTATGGAATTTGTATAAATACTTTTTTTTTTTTTTTAGTTCCTTAGAAGATTAGAAACTTTTAGGACCTTTCACCAAGTAAAACAGTCAATGTTTTAAGTCAGGATGTAAATTAATATTTTGTTAAGATAATAAGTTCTTGAATTGCCTATTTTCCTGTAGGGTCATTGGGTTCTTAAATTTCAATACATAAAAGACATACCCACTATATGAAAGGTCTCTGTTAGGAACTAAAACAGATATGAAGATGAATTAATATAGCCACTCTGATCTCAAAGAGTTTATTGAATTCTTATCTATGTATATGTTTTTTAATAGAGTCACCTCACTTTATTATTACAACTATGTGAGGTAAGGAATACTACTGTTTTGTATTAGGAAACCCAGACTTATAAAGAATTAAATTGCTGGCCTACTAACAGAAATTACTGGTGTAAGTGTCAGAAGATAGAACCCAAGCTCTTAGACCTAAAAGTCCAAACCTGTTCTGTACACTTGACTGCTTCACAAATAATTCAATCAGCAAAGCAATAAACTAAGTTCAAGGAGAGAGTTACAGAAGGTAGTAAAATTAGGAAACGATTCATGAAAAAAAAAAACCACCATAAAAACTCTTTTAAAAAAAATTTCTTGGGCAACACTTAGCAAAGTCCTGAAGGAGAGAGAGCAAGGTTATTGTGAAGGGAATTCCCACATGTTTGGGTGCCGCAGCTAACCCAAGAGGGTCAGTGGGAATTTAATTAATTAAAGTAACTTAGAAATATGTGTTTCTGATCATGCATTTTGATATGCATGATCCCTGATTTTAGTAACAGTATCTAAAAATATATAATTGCCTTTAGGATTGTTAATTCATAATCATCCTTATTCTCCATAAGTTAGTTTGGCCTAAAATTGATACAGGTTTAAATTTTTAAGGTTTTTTTTTTTCTTTTTCCTTAATATAAGATTCAGAAATTTCTTAGTAATTGCTAGCCAATCTCAATAGTTGCTTTATAGTTAACATTCATTTTACAAAGTGAGGATACTAGATTGTTTTGGTGTTTAAAGTATTTCTATAAATAATTTACATAAACTAATATGTATCAGTGATTTAGAGTTATGGCCATAAGAGTTAATTTGTATTTATGACTTCTACAGCAGTGTGTTTTAATTTAGTAATGTGTTCAGTGCATCTTTAATTAAGTAGAACTTATTTTCCCCCCAGTGGAAGCATCAGTTCATAGCAGTAATGCACACTGCACAGATAAGACGATTGAAGCTGCTGAAGCCCTGCTTCATATGGAATCTCCTACCTGCTTGAGAGATTCAAGAAGTCCTGGTATGTAAACTACCCTATTTATATTAAACCTGTCACATCACTTCATGCATCTGGAATGAATGGTTTTTAAGATACAGGGGCATTGTTGGTGTTCTCAAGATCTGTTATATATGAATACCTGTGACAGCAGAATTTGATCTTTATTTGTCGAAGTACCCAAGTCTTGAATACTTAATTTTCATAATAAATGAACGCCCAGTATAGATAGAAGTTTATTAAGTTGCTATTTAGACTATCATGCCTTACTTCCTTAACTCTGGTCAATTTATAAACCTTTGTATTTTACAATAGTCCTTAAGTGAATGTCAGATGGGGTGGGATTTGGTTGCCTCCTATGACCACCTTTAATTCTTTATTCTGGGATAAAGTGACTCCAGGGAACAATCTATTGTGGAGCAAGGAGGAAGCCATTTCCTTACACTCCCTTCAGGCTGCAAGTTTTTCTTTTCTTTTGGTCCCTTTTTTCCTTTAAGGCTGCCTTTGAGGGTTATGTTGTCCTAATTCTCATTTACCCTAATTTTAATATTCCAATGTTAATTTTACTTGATATAGTAAGTTTGGCTCTTCTTCCTTTTTTTAAAAATATGTTTTTATTTATTTTGGAGGAAAGGAGTGGAAAGAGAGAGGGAAGGAGAGATAGAAACTCTCTCATTAGAGAGAATCATTGATGGGCATGTGCTCTGACTGGGAATTAAACCGGGACCTCTTGGTTCATAGGTCAGTGCTAAACCTCTGAGCCACACATCTGGGCTGGACCTGTTCTTATAGGACTTTACAATAAATACTAAGAGTGACCAGACTTTTAAAGTAAAACAGGAATCCTATGTATTCACAAGTATAAGAAAATTAGGACATATTGATCAGTGTGTTAATCCATGAGAGTAGGTATTATCTCTTTATTGAAATAGAAGTGTCATCCTAATTATTTATGCACATTGGAAGAAAGCCAGGACAACATTATTGTTTGTAATAGAGTGCCAAATAGCAGTCTTTACTGTTTTAGTGACCCAAAATTTAGGGCTATTTCATTAAATAAAGTTTTAAATATGCAGAGATATTCATTGGTGCCATAATGAGCATATTTTCCCTTTTTTTCATATTTTAAAATGAATTATAAGTGCTTATCACTGAAATCACGTTTATTAAATGTCTTAAATTTTATACTCTGTGCATGAATTAGCTAGTTAGAAAATAATGATGGGTACATGGACAGAAAGTATTAAAGAACTCATTATTTTATTTCCAAATATTTTCCTAATTGTCAAAATAATGCAGTTGTCTAAAATGAGCTTAAAAATGCAGGGTGAGGAGAAAGAAGGTTTACAGTTGTATGTGAAATAGGGTTTATTCCTGTATTATTTATTACTTATTGTATTATTTTCCATATGATCAACTGTAAACTAACTTTGGCCCCACTCTGTATATAAAAATGTGAAGACTGGAAGGTGACTATTCCCCTCTTACCCAGAGGATTAACATTTTCTTTTTAAAATATATTTTATTGATTTTTCACAGAGAGGAAGGGAAAGGGATAAAGAACTAGAAACATCAATGAGAGAGAATCATTGACCAGCTGCCTCCTGCACACCCCCTACTGGGGATGTGCCCGCAACCAAGGTACATGCCCTTAACCGGAATTGAACCTGGGATCTTTTAGTCCACAGACCAATGCTCTGTCCACTGAGTCAAACCGGTTTCGGCTAACATTTTCTTTAAGTTGATTTTTCTTGCATTTTATTTTCTTACATACTTTAGATCATATTGCATATTCAGCAAGTTAACTTCAAGTTCTTATCCTGCTTTGTTAAATTATTAAACATCACCTCTACTAAGTATTGAATTGTCCACAGTAAGAAGCATGGGGGTAGGAAATTTTAATTTTTCAACTTTTTTTTTTGTTTTTATAGTGGAAGTGTTTGTCCCTCCTTGTGTATCAACTCCAGAGTTTATCCATGCTGCTATGAGGCCAGATGTCATTACAGAAACTGTAGTGGAGGTGTCAACTGAAGAATCTGAACCAATGGATACCTCTCCTATTCCTACATCACCAGATAGCCACGAACCAATGAAAAAGAAAAAAGGTAGAGTATATTTACAAATTTCTGGAATGGTGGGTGAAATTTTTTGTATGCAATATATACTGTGGATTTATGATTGATGTTATCTTAATTAGATATTCTCAAAGAATCAGAAATTGAGATTTTCATTTTATATTTTAACATGTTCATACTATTTTAAAAAGAGTTAGTATTTAAGCCCTAAAAGTAGTTGCCTGAAAATGAGACCATAATGGGTGTTGAACACACAGAAGGAAAATCAGAGATTCACTACACATTTGTCTACTTTGTGGCCCTTTAGGTTCTTGGTTACTCCCCCCCCCCCCCCCTTGATTTTCTTTACAGAGAGGAAGAGAGAGGGATAGAGAGTTAGAAACATCGACGAGAGAGAAATCATTGATTAGCTGCCTCCTGCACACCCCCGACTGGGGATGTGCTCTCAACCAAGGTACATGCCCTTGACTGGAATTGAACCTGGGACCCCTCAGTCCGCAGGCCGTCGCTCTATCCACTGAGCCAAACCAGTTTCGGCTACTTGGTTACTTTTTAAAAAAGGAATTTAATCTTGCACTATTTTATAATCCTGTCTTCCTACTCTTTTGTGAACATGAAAATAAAAGCACAACTTTTTTTGATACCTTCTCTCCCCCCCCCCCCCCCCAATGCCTTCTTTTAAATACCAAGATTGCCAATAGTGATCTATAAGTGAAATAAACTCACTAATGGGGTAAAGAGAAAGAGTATTTCCACTTAGTTGTCTCCTGCTGGGACATCACTCACCTGATCCTGGTAGGTGGGGCACAAGGCTCCAGAACATCTCCAACATCCTGAGGAGATGGGCAGTAAGTCGATCCTTTTCCTATTTGAATCAAAGGTAAAACTTGAAATGACACCTTATACAAATTCGTACTTATCTAATTCCTCTTTACATTTTAGAATGGGGGGTGGGGGGAATAAAGGAAAACTTATTTTTTTTTTTTTAAGGGAAACTTTTATTAAAAATAATGGTGTTTTTCTTTATTAGAAGTGTTTCAAATTGATGTGATGTTATCAGGTCTGTGCTTATTGCTGTGAGGGATACAATGAAAATTAGGTCAGAGAGCCTTCCCTCATAATACATCTATATATATATATATGAAAGCCTAAGTGACCATTCAACTTTTTGAATAGTAGCTATGATGCTCACTGACCACCAGGGGGTAAACACTCAACACACAGGCATGGGAACATGGAATAGACTGATGAATCTCAGATGGAAGGGGGGAGTAGAGAGAGTGGGGCGAGATTAACCAATGATCTTATATGCATACTAGAGGCCCAGGGCATGGATTCTTCATCCTGGTCTGTGAGGATCGGGCTGAATCTGTGCACAGGCCTCTGACATCCTCCAAGGGGTCCCGGATTGGGAGAGGATGCAGCCCAGGCTGAGGGACCCCACTAGTGCACGAATCTGTGCACTGGGCCTCTAATATCCTATATAATAAAAAGCCAATATGCAAATTGGCCAAACAGCAGAAAGACTAGTCGCTGTGACGTGCACTTCCCACCATGGGACAGACACTCAATGCAGAAGCTGCCCCATGGTGGTCAGTGTACTCCCACAGGGGAACACCACTCAGCCAGAAGCCCTGAGCCAGGCTCACAACTGGCGAGCGCAGTGGCGGTGGTGGGATCTTTTCCGTGGCAGCACTAGGATGTCTGACTGATGGCTTAGGCCTGCTCCCTGCCGAGTGCATGAATTTTGTGCTCTGGGCCTCTATTATATGTATCTTTAAAAAAAAAAAAAAAATATATATATATATATATATATTTTTTTTTTTAAATATATTTTTTATTGATTTTGTACAGAGAGGAAGGGAGAGAGACAGAGAGTCAGAAACATCGATGAGAGAAAGTCATCGATCAGCTGCCTCTTGCACACCCCCCACCGGGGATATGCCCGCAACCAAGGTACATGCCCTTGACCGGAATCGAACCCGGGTCCCTTCAGTCCCCAAGCCGACGCTCTATCCATTGAGCCAAACCGGTCTCGGCTTGTTATTGTTTTTAATGTATGGTTTCATTATCTTTATTTTTTTTCAGTTGGCCGTAAACCGAAGACCCAGCAATCACCAATTTCCAATGGGTCTCCTGAGTTGGGTATAAAGAAGAAACCCAGAGAAGGAAAAGGTAATTTGGGAAAGGCTATTTTGGAGGCCAGATGATTTTTTTTTTTAATATATTTTATTGATTTTGTACAGAGAGGAAGGGAGAGAGATAGAGAGTTAGAAACATCGATGAGAGAGAGTCATCGATCAGCTGTCTCTTGCACACCCCCTACTGGGGATATGCCTGCAACCAAGGTACATGCCCTTGACCGGAATCGAATCCGGGTCCCCTCAGTCCCCAAGCCGATGCTCTATCCATTGAGCCAAACCGGTTTTGGCCAGATGATTTTTTTTTTTTTCAGTCTGAAATATTTCTAGTATGTGCATATGTGGCAGTACTATCTTTTTAAAATATATTTTATTGACTAAAGAGAGGAAGGGGAGGGAGGGGGAGAGAGAGTTAGAAACATCAGTGATGAGAATCATTGATTGGCTGCCTTCTGCCCATCCCCTACTGGGGTTTGAGCCTATAACCCAGTCATGTGCCTTGATGGAATCAAACTGTGATCTCCTGGTTGATACTTAACCACTGAGCTACCCTGGCTAGGCAGTACTATTTTCAGTAATGCTTAGGAAGGAGCTTTTCAAACTCTATGCTCACTCCTGTCTGCCTGAGTTTCTGTAGCCATGGATACAAGAGGTGAGTGCGAAGGGGAAAAGGTCTTAAGTGCAATATTTTGGGAAAGGTCTTAAGTGCAATATGATGTACACCCCTTAAGAGCTATTGTTCTAGAGCAAGCATGTCAAACTCTCCACCCACGGGTTGCATGTTATTTGGCCTGTGTCAGCTTTTGAGTTTGACATATTTGTCTAGAGGATGTGTATGTATAACAGCAGGCATCCTCATATAGAGCAACTTAGAATTGAAAGAAGGTTACAACTAAGACTTACTTTTGATGCACAGTTTCTTAACTGATAGAAGCTGTGCACTAAATAATTTAAGGCAAGCTGAATTTAATTTTTCAATCACCAAATTTGAGTCATGTCAGTTAGGAGTCAGAACAAAAATTTACCATTTTTTGCTTTAGAATTTGTATATTTTCATTACGAATAAAAATAGCAACAATCTTCCTACCTTTTATGCTCTCCTAATTTATTGGGTAAGTTGATGTTAAGTAATCCTACCTAATAAAGAGGGAATATGCTAATTGACTGTCATGCCCTCACAAAATGGCATTGAAAGCAAATAAGAAGGGAATATGCTAATTGACTGCCACATCCTCAAATATGGTGGCTCACAGTCCCTTTAGACCCACCGGGACAATAGGGGTGTGGCATGGCCTGGCCCTCCCCCAGATGGGTCTGGCTGTTCCATGTGCCTACCTACAGAGTCCTCCAGTCCCCTCAGCCCTCCAGTTGCCCAGGGCTGGCTTGAGGCACAGGCAAGCCTTTGAAGGCAGCTGCCTAGTCGCCCAGGGCCGCCTGAGGCTCAAATAACCAGAGCTGGCTGAGGCTTGTGCTGCCAACAGTGGCTGCAGCAGAGGTGTGATGGGGCGTTGCCTTCCTCTGATTGCTGGGTTGCCTCCCATCCCTGAGGGCTCCTGGACTGTGAGAGGGGGCAGGCCAGGCCAAGAGATCCCCCTCCAGTGCATGAATTTTCATGCACCGGGCCTCTAGTACTTTAATAATGGTTTCATGTTTGTTCTGGTAATGTAATAGTTAAAAACTGATCACTTCCCATGAATGAATGTTTTCAGACCAGTATTCAATAAATGGACCATTTTATTTTTATTTATTAGTGACTCAGTGCACATTGAAAGGAAATTAATTACAAGAAATATTTTAATATCATATTCACCTTTCTCTATAATAGAAGTGTCAACCAAATTCACAATCAACAATGACAGATCAAAATACATGCATCTGATTGGTGCCAGTGAGAGCTTTATGTGTATTGTGCATGTGCAAGTCAGTTTAACCTTTTATATATAGAGAATAAACTTGCTTGATTAGACCTGTTTTCTGATTTAGTTAAACTTTTTCCAGCCCAGTGAAGCACCCCAACTTCTCTTTCAGGTAATTGTCAGCAACACAGCAATAAATACCAACACAAAGCAGATTATTATTATAGATCTTTTAGGGAGAACAAAAGGTAAAATATTTGATCGCAGCAGTGTTTGACTATATTCTGCTCAGTGAGCAAACCTGAAGTCATTTTCAAGGTCCACCCTTTCTTTTTATTCGGGTCAAGTTTCTAAGCTTTCTAAATCTCTGTTTTCTGGCTAATGAAAAGAAAATAGGATTCCACTGAGTTGTCTGTCTTCCCACTCTAGGACTTCTGTGAGGATCAAATGAGATGAGGCACATGAAAACACTTCACAGACATTTGGTTCAGGTGTAAAATGTTTGCACCTGGCTATAAAGCAAGTCGTGTTTCTGGGCTGAAGAAACTCCAAGAAGGCTAGTTGCTAGGGAGAGGAAGCCGGGCATTGCTTTGTGACGTCATTACTTGGCACCTATAGCCATAGTTGCTGGGCTGTGCTGTGGGCTGCGTTTTGTGCCATGGGGTTTTGGCAGTGTTGTCTGTGATTTGGTGGGCTGTCACTCCAGGGTGGTGGCTGGACTTGTACCCCACTTGAGGGAAGCCAAGTGTTGCTTTGTGGGTGCCAGATCCACGGTGCTGTTTCTCTTGTAAACCTGAATTCTATTTAAAATTGTGCTATATTTTTTTCTCCTGTTACCTGAAAACATAATGTCTATGCATATATTAAAAATATTCTACAAATGTCCAGGTCATATTTACCAGCTGGCATTTTACTTAATGTGTGGGTATTTTGCATTGTGGTGTTTAATCAAGACATTAACATGAGTAGAAGAGTATTGATTTAAGACAAATTTGAGACCCACTAAAATTAATTGTTGTATGTTTGTCCTTCTGGTGGCTGTGGACTTTTTTCTTTGTGCATCATTAAATGTCTTAGTTCTTGAAGTACAACTTTAATGCTCTATGAATTTCAGCATTTTGCTAATACTGGTATGCTCTGTGCACCTACCATTCCTCTGGAATTATTTATTCCAGTCATATTAATTTTGTTTACAAGTCTAACTGATGGAGATGCTTCTGGGTATTTAGGTCCACATTCTACTTGCAGGCTATATACTCTGTTGTCATAATTTGTCCTCGGTGGCCCAATAATCATGCCAATCCACCTTGTGTCATATCTTCATCATCTTCAAGGCCCCAGCTAACCGGACCATCACCTACTCGTTTTTGTCCTTCAAGTTCTTCCAATAAGTGAAAATAACGAGGAACTTTATCCCCTGTGGGGACCACCATCTTTTTTTGCACCCTGACCCTGACTCAGCCGTCCCCTCCATACATCTTGATGTATAGTAGTTGAAAGTGATGTAGTTCAAAGTCATGCATATATATATACACACACATTTTAGAGAGAGGAATGTGGTGGGAGGAAACATCCCTTTTCAATAAATTAATAAGTACCTTTTGATGAATTTTGATCATAGAATTTGAGCTTATAAAAACATACAAATTTAAATTTATTCAGAGTTTAAATCTGTAAATTAATAAATATGATCTGTTTTAAGTTCACTTAGTGCTAAGCATTATGCCTTTGCCTTTATTGAACTCAAAATCTAGGCTAGGATAATACATGATAGTATAAAATCTAGGATCCCAATTATGTTAGTACCATAACTGGAAATGTACATAGGATGTTATTTTTAAAATCCAGTAAACAAAATAAAACTAAGAAAACAAAAATAGAAAGGAAAAAAAATATCCAGCCTGACTGGTGTAGCTCAGCAGTTGAGAATTGAGCCAGGAATCAAGAGGCCACCGGTTCGATTCCAGGTCAGGGCACTTGCTTGATACAGGCTCGATCCCTTAGTGGGGAGGCATGCAGGAGGCAGCTGATGGTGATGTCTGTCTCTCATCAATGTTTCTATCCCTCTCCCTTAGGCTCTCTCTTAAAAAAAAAATGCAGCTAATAAGTATATTTATGAATTTTGTTATGATGAAAGATACTTTGTATCACTTACTAGAAACACAATTTGACACTGTTCAAAGATTGCCAATATAGTCAAGTACTTAATGACAGACTCAGTACATTTGCGTTTACAAGTAGTAAATGATTTTATTTTTATCTAGCACAATTAAATATTTGCTTCTAATCAATATCTATCATTGTTTTCTAAGGAAACACAACCTACTTGTGGGAGTTTCTTTTAGATCTACTTCAAGATAAAAATACTTGTCCCCGATATATTAAGTGGACTCAGAGAGAAAAGGGCATATTCAAGCTTGTGGATTCAAAGGCTGTCTCTAAGCTTTGGGGAAAACATAAGAACAAGCCAGACATGAACTATGAAACTATGGGACGAGCTTTGAGGTAAGAGCATGAAGGAATGCGTTTTCAAACAAAATTTACACATCTCTTCCTATTGTCTATTAGCTGTTTGAAGAGAAGATGTGAAAATCCCTTATTTATGATAACTTAATTTTGGAGGATATTCTAAAGAAGCTTCTTAGATTTGGAGATAGATGGGGAAAAGGGAATTTGGTCTGGATGTCTAAGATTTCAACATGATTGGAAAATCTGTTTCTCCAGAAAAAAATGTGCTTTTGCATTTAAGATTATTCCATAATACAAAATTAAGTTACAGACCTTTAAGAAAATGAAACCCAAATGAAAGTTTCAAAATTGTTAATTTGCTTCAGTTCTTGTTACTTTGTTATAATGGATTTATCTTGACGTGAAAATTGTTCAAGTTTTGTCAGTTTGAGAAACCATAAAACTTGTAGTGTACATGGCTTTTTCTAAGGGTCCTTATACATAATTTATGTGATGGTATTCACATGTCCCACAGATTTAACTCTTCTAAGCACAGCTTATTATTTTTCCATGTTACATCAGATTGTTTTTGTAATCTATGTATAAATATGAGTTGAATTTTTATCAGTGTTCGTAAAATAGTCTGTATTCAGGTTAAATTACTTCCTTTAAGAATGAACTTTTTGCTACTTTATATATCTCAAGGTTATAGTGGCCTATAGCACCAGGTTCCAACTTCATTCCTACTCATGATTCTCAGCCATTTGAACAATCCAGGCAGGAAGTGCTACTTCTTATTTTACAAAAATAAGCGAATGTTTCTGTTATTACCCATTTTTCATGGTGGTTTGATTCATTAAGAACTTTTTCCTTACAGATATTATTACCAAAGGGGTATTCTTGCAAAGGTTGAAGGACAGAGGCTTGTTTATCAGTTCAAGGATATGCCCAAAAACATAGTGGTCATAGATGATGACAAAAGTGAAACCTGTAATGAAGATTTGGCAGCAGCTGCTGATGAAAAGTCATTAGAACGAGTGTCACTATCTGCAGAAAGTCTCCTGAAAGCAACCTCTGTTCGTGGTGGGAAAAACTCATCTCCTCTAAACTGCTCCAGAGCAGAGAAGGGTGTAGCGAGAGTTGTGAATATCACTTCCCCTGGTCATGATGCTTCATCCCGGTCTCCTACTACTACCACATCTGTATCAGCAACAGCAGCCCCAAGGTAAGTGAGGGAAACTGTTAGTTGTATTTGCTTTTTTAGAAAACTTCTTGGCAAAATGATATGTTCTTTTTTCAATATTTGCATTCTAAGAACCCACTGTTGGTCAGGAATTGAAAAGTACCTGATATTTTATTTTATTTTATTTATTTATTTATTTATTTATTTATTTATTTATTTATCTATTTATTTATTTATTTATTTATTTATTTATTTATTTATTAATTAGCTTAACAATAACCCACAATCTTCGGACCAACTTATTTATTTGTTTATTAAAATATATTTTATTGATTTTTTTTTTTACAGAGAGGAAGAGAGAGGGTAGAGAGTTAGAAACATCAATGAGAGAGAATCATTGATCAGCTGCCTCTTGCACACCCCCTACTGTGGATGTGCCCGCAACCAAGGTACATACCCTTGCCCAGAATCGAACCTGGGACCCTTGAGTCCGCAGGCTGATGCTCTATCCACTGAGCCAAACCGGTTTCCGCAGTACCTGATATTTTAAATGTACTTTGTTATTAAAGTAGGTGATGTCTCATTTAACCTCGATTGATTTTTATGGTTTCCTAGATGGAACTTAATATGGGTTTTAGTTTTCTAAATATATTTATTTCATGGTAGTTCATATTCTAGGTGTCAGGAGTTTGTTAGTACATATGGAAAATTTGGGAGCACTGTTTGTACATTTGTATTTGCATTCATCATTTGCTTAAGAAACATAGTTGTAATTTAGCATTAAATATAGTCTAATCTTTTTCATTTACTAGGACAGTTCGTGTGGCAATGCAAGTTCCTGTTGTAATGACATCATTGGGCCAGAAAATTTCAACTGTGGCAGTTCAGTCAGTTAATGCAGGTGCACCATTAATAACCAGCACTAGTCCAACAACAGCAACCTCTCCAAAGGTAGTTATTCAGACAATCCCTACTGTGATGCCAGCCTCTACTGAAAATGGAGACAAAATCACCATGCAGCCTGCCAAAATTATCACCATCCCAGCTACACAGCTTGCACAGTGTCAACTGCAGACGAAGTCAAATCTGAGTGGATCTGGAAGCATTAACATTGTTGGAACCCCACTGGCTGTGAGAGCACTTACTCCTGTTTCCATAGCCCATGGTGCACCTGTAATGAGGCTATCAGTGCCTACTCAGCAGGCATCTGGCCAGACTCCTCCCCGAGTGATCAGTGCGGTCATAAAAGGACCAGAGGTTAAATCGGAGGCAGTGACAATAAAGCAGGAACATGACGTGAAAACGTTGCAGCTAGTACAAGAAGAAAAACCGGCAGATGGAAATAAGACAGTGACCCATGTAGTGGTTGTCAGTGCCCCTTCAGCTATTGCCCTTCCCGTAACGATGAAAACGGAAGGACTGGTGACGTGTGAGAAATAAAAGCAGCTCTGCCGTGGACGTTGGACTGTTAGTAATAGTACTAACAAATGTTTGCAAGGAATGTCATCAAGAAAAGTCAAAAGGAGACTTTAAAACATTTTAATGCATATAGGAAAACAATCAAACCTACTGGAAATAAGTTACCTATCCCATGTTTCAGTGGGAAATGAACTACATATTGAGATGCTGACAGAAAACTGCCTCTTACCTAGGAAACAACTGAACCCATCAAAGGATTGAAAGGGACCAAGCAACTCACTACAATATCAAGTTACACTAAGACTTGGAACACTAACATTCTGTAAGAGGTTACAGTTTTCAATGGGGAGGGGTTGGGATGGGTGATCTCATTGTTACATATAGCAATTTTTGATGCATTTTATATGCATACCAGCAATTATTACTGTGTTCACACACAACTCACTTAACTGGTGCTATGTGAAGACTCTGCTAATGTAGGTATTTTAGAATGTGAATTGAATGGATCCAAAAGCTTCAGAAAGAGGATAGCAAAAAAGATCTATTGCGATTTTTTAAGTAAAATATCATATAGCTTAAGCTGATTTAAAACAAAGGCCTTAGACTAATTTTCGGTTTTCTTTATTGAAATAAGCTAATGGCTTGTTTATGTAAAGCTTTTTTTATTAAAAGAAAAATTTTAAAAATCTTGTACCTAGCACAGTATTGTTATAGAATTTACATGTAACATTTTATATGGTAGTTTAAGTCTGTCAGTTTCTTAATTGTGGACAAATTAACAGTTGGCTCTGGCCTTTTGCTGTAACATGCCTGTGTCACTCAGCCCTGTCATCTGTGCAGACATATCAGTTTCTGTTCTCCTGTCACTTGGAAGTTAAGGCTCAGCATGAATTTTTGTCAGGTAATTCTTAATACCTGGAGTTTTCTTTCTTTTTCCTTTTTTTTTTTTTTTTTTTTTTTTTTTTTTTTTTTTAGTTGAAGTTTAAGAGGGAAAGTACCAGTGTTCAAATTTGAACTATAATAGTTTGTATATTCAACATTTGAAGTATATTCTATTTTGTTGTACTCTTGTTTCAAAGTGTATTCAAGTAGGTTTTCTGAAATATAGAAATTTATCTTGCATTTTGGTCTCTGGTGATATTTTTAACAATATTCAAAAGCTAGTATAGAGACATCATTTTAGTTAAGAATAGAAATCCTATTTCTCCTTTCCAACTAAAGAAATCCTATTTGTTTTGTTCTTTATATTAATATTTGGCAAATAACTGCATGTTGCCACTTTTCCAATTATCGTGAACTATAATGTTCTAGTTACCATAATGAATTTACTATTTTAATGTTGGCCACACTTAAAGAATTTATATTTTAAATCAAGATCATTTACTTCTCAATCATACTTTCTGAAGGTTAGAAGAACAAGTAATATTCTGGCTCTTTTACAATGAGGAACTGGAGGTCCAGAAGGATCACAGAGGAGTTTCCGAATTTCACACCGGACTAGGTCGTGTGACTACATCTTAATGCTCTTTCTATTACAAAGAAAAGTTGTCTATTTTTACATCTTTTAGAAATTTAAATAAACTAATACTTAATATTTTGTGGCCTTTAATTGTGCATTTCATCTGATACTACTTAAGTTGACAAAGATGTTTTTAACAGCTGCCTTTGTAATCCTTTTATCTTTACCATAAACATACCTAATGGTACTTTTTAATAAAAGCTCAAAAAACAAACAAAAAAGAAAAACCAACCCTTCACCTGGTTCTTATCCCATTTGAAAGTTAATCTCAAATTCTACCTCTTTAAATATTCCCTACTCTGCTTTGGCAATTCATTGTATTCTTTTAAAAAAAGTTTTTTATTTTTTATTGTTGAAAGTATTATAGATGTCCCCACACATTTGACCCCTCTACTCCGTTCCCCCATCCCCAAGATCTTTGTCTGTGCTCATTGGTTTTGCATATAAATTCTTTGGTTAATCTCCCCTTCCCCCACCCCAATTGTATTTTTTGCACTGCAATTTCAACCATAATACTGTTGTAGGGCAAAGATTATATACTCTACCATACCTAATCCCCTCAAGTGCTGAGCATATGAAACATAATTGTCCAAGGATATGTCATGTGCTATGGAGGGTAAAGGTACTTTAAATTTTTAGTAATTCCCCCTATGCTATATTAATTGGTTCTAATTAGATGAGGCCAGGGCTACCTAGCTTCCTCCACTGCTCTACCTGAATACTTTTGGGGTACATCTTTCAGAATAAGTACACTTATGGTCTAAATTTGGAAACAAGTTCACAGCATATACTAATTGGAGTGCTTCTGGTGATATTACCAGGTGTATGCCTTTCAGTTTCAACCTTTTGAACTGTAGATCATATTTGCTTTTTGTGTCCAGCATATTGGAAAACCATATAATAGCTTGATGCATCTAGTTTCCAGCCTCACCAGGCTTGTGAACAATGAGCGATCTGTCCATTTAGTCCTCAGGTCATCTTTCAGCAACAGTTCCAGCCTTCACCACTCTGCTTACCAAATAACCAGCAAACCTGGGAATTAGGGAACATGGAGGTCATGAGCTGTCAACTACCCCAATCTGGAATCTTTGCTATAAGAGCATCTTATTCTAGCATGCATCCAGCACTAGTCTCGAGAGGCAGATGTGCCTTCTTTCTGAATTCAGCATCTCATTCCCTTTCACTCCTACTTCTTTCCTGTTACAACACTTAATAACTCATCATTTTGTCTTTCTTAATTATAGTCAATTCTGACTTAGAAACAATTACTGTTGAAGTCTCCAGTAATCCAGTGGTCAAGTCAAACTGCTTTATTTTTTTCACATGATCTTGTGCCTCTGCCTTCTTAAATTCTCTTGGTTTTCCTTAACTCCCCTCTTGAGTTTTCCTCCTGTATGTCCAACTCCTAGTTGACTTTGCTCTCCTTCAGCTTTCCCATGTGGGGCCCTCAGAGTAGTTGGGGAGAATTGAGTAATATATTAAGGATTTAGAACCAGTGCCTGGAACATAGCACTCTTTATTTAATGTTTATTATTATGATATCTCTATATATTAGACAATCCCACCCATTCTTATGATGTCTACTACCAAATATATTGTTCTAGCCTCTTCTTTAGGCCTTAGATGGGTTTATTTACTTGCCATCTGGCTGTTTCCTCCTGAATGTCCAACTCATCCATCTGAAATCTCCTCCTCTCTGTTCAATAAATGTTGCCAGTAACCCATTACTCCTTACCCTCCACAACAACCTCCCTCTAATTTTTCTTTTCCTAGTATCCTCCCATAACAGACTCCCCAGACCCCTAACAGTTCCTTCAGCTGTAGTCTTCATGGTGGTGGCCCAGCCACTTTGGTGAAGTTACTCTAGTGTTTTCTTGGGTCTCCATGTATACAGAAGGCATACAGTACATGTTTATTAAATTCCTTTTTCTCCTGTTAATCTTTTATTACAGGGATGTCTCAAACAAGAACCTAAAAGTGAACATTATTTCCCTCCCCTACAGAGCGAAAGTCTCTGTCATTCAGCCTGGGTGTGCAGTGGGCATTACTGCAGTTTTTCTAAGTACACTCTGATGCTCCAGTAATGCTGAAACCCGCTGATGATGCATTTCTCAGAACCTGTCCCTATCAGTAAGTGGCTGGTGACTATATTGTTGGACACCTGACATTCACATATTACTTTGACTTTCATTCTCATTCAGATTTGTTTACCCAAGGCTGTCGTGATCTCTTTTCAGGTTGGTGTACTTTGGGGTAGGTAAACAATATTTAATGCCTGTACATAAGTATTCTAGTTAGTGTTTCTCAGCAACATGATTACTATTAGTCATGCTAAGATTTGAACCAAATAGTATGGATGTTTTTTGTGCTTGCCATTCCTTCCAGGTAGTCCCAAGTGTTTATGTATACAATGTATTGAGAAACGTTTGTTTCAAAAGTGGTTCCAATGCAGAATACTTGGCTGAACCATTTTGGGAGCTCCAACCTTGGCACTGAGAGATACCATCTTACATAAGCATGCAAAGATGCCTCCAATGTGCAGCTATAGATCTGCCTCTGTTCGCTTTAGAAATTCTGTGTGTAAATGAATAGTGAACCCACCATGTTAACAGTATTATTATAAAAGATCAAACCACCCTCGCTGGTTTGGCTGTGGACAGAGGGTTGGCCTGTGGACTGAAGGGTCCTGGTCAGCATATATGCCTGAGTTGTGGACTCGATTATCAGTGTGGGGCCTGTAGGAGGCAGCCAGCCGATAAATGAATCTCTCATCATTGAGGTTTCTATATCTCCCTCTACCTTCCTCTCTGAAGTTGGTATAAAAGATCAAACCTACCAGATTCTTTTTAGACTAAAAATACAAGCTATTAAAGTACTAGTTTTAAAAGACCATTTATTAATTTTAAATATATACAATTCATGGATTAAAATATTTATTACCAATAGGTTATTTGCTGGGATTTTGCTTGGAAGGGGCTTCACCTGTTACCTTGATCGCATTTTTTTCCCCAATGACAGAATTCCAGGTTATCTTTCCTTTTACATTTCTTTCTAGACACTTTGAATAGCCTCGTGAACAGGTTTTCTAGTTACCCATCTCTGAAAAGGGCCCATTGATTTTACTAGAAAAGCACATTCCAATACAAATCACTGTGACATTGGCCACTTATGTATACCAATAGCATTCCAACAGAAAACTGTAAATGTAACAGATTAAATAACAAAGACCAACTGGTCATGGAATCTCTTCAAGAAATACAATGGGAACATGGAGGCACAGCAAGAATTGTTATGAAGAACTTATCAAGACCAGCTATTTCCATTTAAAAACAAAAACATGTTGCTGCCAAGGTTCCAGTGCAGGTGCAAGAAAAAAGGGTCCTCTGCTTTTCTGTCTGTCTGATTGTGGCAGCCAAGATTGCATGGGGGAATACAGTGAAAAAAAAACAAAACCCCAAAACAAACCCCTGGGGCCTCCAGGCTAAATAGTTCCTTTGTTCACTACTTTTTAGACCCCAAATAAAAATATCTTAAAGCCTTAAGAAAATTACTATAAATTATTCTATAACTTACATTTGCATGGTTTTTAAATGTTTGTAATGCTATTATTTTCACATGAAGATATAAAATATAAACATTGCCATGCATATCTTGACATTTAAAACCACAAATAAATAACTTGAAATACTGTCTGAAGAAATTGTTCCAGCATACTTATTATGGAAGACTCAAAAGTTTTTATATAGTGTCATCAAACTGAAAGCTTCAACACAAGACTAATTGAGAATGCCCTTAATTGATTTAAATTTAATGATAGGGGGAAGGGGGAAAAAAGCCAAAACTGGAGTGCAAACTTGACCTTTTTCGCTGAAGGGTTTAATGGAAAAAATTTGTGAACTAGTGGGATTCCTTCCCTGAGGCATGCTGGAAACATGGAAAGTGAAGTGAGAGAAACTGGGAATCCTTCCTCAGGCAATTTATCCTATTTCAGTTTTCCTGAAACATCCCTGGTTAAGACTTGTGATTACAAAGTGTTTATGAAAGTCCATCAGGTTCCTTATTAAAGCTGAAGTCGCACACTAGAGACAGGTGGTCTGAAGGATAATTGAAGGATGGGAGCCGGCTGGCTCCAATCTGTTCTTCAGTGAGCAAATCCAGAGCTGACCTCACACTCAGAGAGTGTTTAGAATACCAGATATAGTCCAGGGTGTGCCGGTACTCCCCTGAGGTCCGGATCTTCCAGGAAGTATACGGAGGTTCTGACTGCCCATCTGGACTCAGCAGCTTGTAGGCGCTACTCAGGTTGAGGCTGGAGGAAGCAAAATGTTTGTAGACGTCCTCTGTTGGCTCTGCATTGAAGTCCCCACAAACAATGAGGGGAATCTTGGCTCCTTTGGTGATGTTCTGCAGGTTCCGGAGAAGATCACAGCCTTGAGCTGATCGAAACTGCTCCCAGCCAGATCGTGCTTTTAAGTGGGTGACTGCGATGCAGAACTGCCGACCGGACTCCTTGCACTCTAGCGTCTGTATGATGGCCACCTGGTTGGTTTTCAGGGCCATGGCCGTCAGCCTGATGTTGGTGCTGTGGACTAACTTGAATCGGTTCTGGAGGAAAAACAAGGCACAGCCATCTGGTCCATTGTTATGCTCCACATCTAGACAAGGTGACAAGGGCTTGGGGAAAAACGTGCCTCGATAGCCCAGTCTGCTGAGGAGGGGTTGGAAGGTGTCAAAATAGTGGTCCACCTCTTGGAGACACAGGATGTCAGGCTGGTAGGCTAGGATTTCTTCCAGGATGAGACACTTCCGCTCTTCCCACCTGAGTGCTTCAACAGGGCACTGTGCGAAGTTGTCTTTGCCTTCCCCGAGAGCTGAAATAAAAAAAGCCAGTCGGTTGTCAGCTACTACAGAATCATGACTTTAGTGTCTGGGAGTCTCCGTGGGTTTTTGAGAGGACTCCCAGTGCTTCCTCCTCCAGGCGTTGTGGGTGATTCTTCTCTGCCTAAACAGCACTAAGTTTTAGCTTTAAACCGTATTCTTTGCAGTTCCAGGGATCTAAACTATGTCGGATGAGATAGACGTGTTTAACTCTATATACGAATTTCATCACCGATTATGAATGGATCTAGATACTACTCAGAATAAATAGGCAGCTTTTCCTACTTAGGATCAGCTGGAAAAAAATGAACCAAAGATTGGGAAGTCAGCAATCATGCCCTATTCTGGGGGAGAAAAGGGCAAAAAGGCAGCCCTTGTTCCTTTTCCTTAAAATTTCAAACTGCTACATGAGAGCTAACACTAGGGAAAGTTGATCAAGATGCGAATGGATGAGAATGTGGCCGTAGGATGACAGGTTCAGCACCACCCACACAGCTCCCATCCCCTGTAGCAAGTCCCATATGGAACCCATTCAGGAGACTCGGTTTCTCCTTTGCAAATGCAAATGCTGTCTTGGTGCTGTGGACTGAAAGGTGGACACAACAAAAGTAATGAGGCCGACAAGTGATGGGCCCTTTAGATTTAAGCGCTGGGAAGTAGACTTTCATTGTACGTGGAAGGTAATTAGGAATAAGTCTCCAGTTGCTGGATTTATTAGTGAAAACCAGAAGACTTGCTTTCCTAACTTGCCCGTCACCCCATCTTACACCTCCACGGAGACAGTGCAGCAGCACGTGCAGAGGCAGAGAGGCAGTCGCCACAAACCGAGCGGCCCAGGAGGGAAGCACCAGGCTTACCTTGGGCGAGGATGTTCCACTGCATGACCCTTATGAGCGGGTGGCTACCGGGGCAATCTGTCTTCAGGTCCACGAAGTCCCTCTGGAACCGGGGAGGCCGGCTCTGCAGGACCGCCCTGCATTCCTCGAGGAGCTCTTTGGGGTCAATGGGCTCCAGATGTTCTGGGTCCGGGGACTCCAAATACTGCGGGTGCTGGGAGGCGGCGCTGCTGTTCAGGGTCTTGGCGAGAGCGCTATAGAGTCTGCTCGTGCCGTTTCCCATGGAACAGGCTGCAGGGAAGGAAAAGAAAACACAATTACACACTCGGCTCCTTTTCCTGCCTTTCTTCACTTTCCACCCGGCTCAGCTAGAGGGGAAAGCTTTTACTGTCCACAGAAGCAGAGACCTTGATGCAGGGAAATGCTGTCACTGGCACAGGCAGACTAAAGGCCTTCCCAGGTTCTACCTTTCTACTGGGAAGGTCACTGAAAATACTATTAAAATTGGTCTCTCAGCACTAAGGTAATTCTTACAAGGGAAAAATGCTGTGATCTTTATCGCTTCCTCTAACCTACCACTTGTCTTTATAACTTATACACCCAGTCTTAAAAAAGCATAGTTGAAACAAAACCCCCATTCCTTTTTCTACATAATTTCAAAAACCCGAAAACCAGTTTTGTAAAAAGGCAGATGTTAGGAAGCCCATGTTAATCCTGGAGAAGAGACGAGGACAGAGCAGGCTGCTGCTCTAGCATGTGACCTCCCAGGTCCCTGCAGGAAAGAAATGGCTGCATTAAACCCACACCTCCTCTTGCTTACATGTCAGCTTTTTGCAGAGCTCTGTGAGCCACAGAGAATACAGTGGATAATCTGTCAATGGCATATTTCTTTAAAAAACACACAAGAGCCGAAACCGGTTTGGCTCAGTGGTAGAGCGTTGGTCTGCGGACTGAAAGGTCCCGAGTTCCATTCCGGTCAAGGGCATGTACCTAGGTTGCGGGCACATCCCCGGTAGGGGGTGTGCAAGAGGCAGCTGGTCGATGTTCCTCTCTCATCGACATTTCTAGCGCGCTCTCTCTCTTCCTCCTCTCTGTGAAATATCAATAAAATATATTTTTAAAAAATAAAAAACACACAAGAAATCAGAAAAGATATTGGAGGAGGGAAAGGGTAAAGAGGTAGCTGCCCACATTTCTTGGGATCCTGGGCACTGTCTATGCTTCCTTTTTAAATCACTAAGGAGAACCGAGCACGGTCTTCAGCTAATTAGCATGAGGGAAACTTGTAAGCAGTGATCCGTGATTGGTCTTTTGGAAGTCAACCATTCTTTCTGTTCACCATGGTATAAATTAGGGGCATTAAGTTTTACTTGGAATCACTTCCAAATTTCTGTGTATGATGAATATTGGTATGGAATTTGGATTTTCCTACCACATCCATATCTTTGCCTTCTTTTGAATGACACAAAATTTTCTCTATGAAAATACATTGTGTAGCCAAAACCGGTTTGGCTCAGTGGGTAGAGCATCAGCCTGCGGACAGAAAGGTCCCGGGTTCCATTCCGATCAAGAGCATGTACCTTGGTTGCGGGCACATCCCTAGTAGGGGTGTGTGTGCAAGAGGCAGCTGATTGATGTTTCTAACTCTCTCTCTTCCTTCCTCTCTGTAAAAAAAATCAATAAAATATATTAAAAACAGACACACACACACAAAACATTGTTTAGCAGGATCTGATGGACTGTATCTGAAACTAGCTGTCAGTCAAAGTCACAGTGACAGATCACAAAAGCAAATTCAAATATTTAGCACCAATTTTTTAAATAGCAAGGTCAATAAAGCATGCCGTCATTCCTTTTCATCAACTCAAAGTATTTTCCCCCTCAAGAAAACTAGATTAAAGCAAAGAAACACCCTAGTTTTCCCAGCATACATTTAAGTGTACATGCATCGGCAAGCAAGACTTCTTTCTCACACACGTGCACATGCACCAGTGGGCACATACACATCTGTTTTCAAACGGATTTGAATATGTTCTTTTTAATCAATCTGCTTGCCTGAGTGCATGGGTCCAAAGGAAGAGCTTTTCCTTTTGGCTGGCAGTACAACTTTGAAAATCTTGCTTATGTACCTCCACTTTTTTTTTTAAGTTAAGAGTCCTACTAAATGTTGTCAGGTCAGCACCACCTCAACTCTAGGTCAGTGTCACATGGGCCACAGCAAACTCCCAGGCACAGTGGAGTGCTTTAAATTTGAAGCAAACAGCAACATTTATCAGAGGAACTACCAGCTCAATGTAGCTCAGTTTCAACAGAATCTTTCTACATCATTTTGATGGCTTCATATCTTTGCAAGCTGAGTTTTGAGGTGGTTGACTGTGATAAAAAGCAGGTAAGTGAAAAAGAGGATAAGTGCCCAATAGGAGTGAGTTCATGGTTTGAGATGTTATATGAAGCCAGAATACCCTGAACTACACTTCCTTCTAGAAAATTAGAAAAAACCTCCAATAAAAAGAATATGGAACAGAATAACATCTGTCCAGACAATGAAAGCATGCCAGAACGATGTCCCCAGAAAGCAAATCAAAACGGTATCCTATTGCAAAATGAGTTGAAGGTCATTAAGAAAATGGTAACTGGCCTAAATCAGAATGGGAAAACTCAAAAATGAGATAAAGCATAGGAGATAACACACATGAATAACAGGAATTGTAGTAGTAAGAAATCCAATGCATGAAATGAAACATTAAAAACTATAAATCAGAAACTTAAAGAGTACAAAGTTTCAGCCGTGCAGGATGAATTAAGTGGTGGAGTTCTATATAATATGGTGACTATAGTTAATAAAACTTTTATCTGCTCGAAATCTTGAACAGTAAATCTTAAGTGCTCACTACACACACACACACACAGCATGATGTGAGAGGACAGATGTTAATTAGCATGACTGAGGTATTCATTTCACAATGTATACACATAGCAAAACATCACATGGTATACCTTAAATATATGTAATTTTTATTTATTAATTATACCTCAAACTGGAAAAAAAGAATAAGAAAAAAATCAGGTTAAAAATGTATCATGGATTTTTTTTCAATCATTAATACAAAAAGCTTGGTTTTTGTCACTCTGAGGGGAAAAAAAATAACAAAAAAAAAAACCACAACAAAACTTGAAACTACATATTAAAATAACATGCCACATACCTGAGAAATAAACCCAGAGTAACCAACACCAACTGTACTGTAAAGAAAGAGAGAAAAGTCCCTTGGACATATAGGCAAAACCAGCAAGTAACTTATAAGAAAAATAATATATGACTCATCTACATGTGACTCAAGAATTTTCTATCCAGCAAAACCAATATTGACTCTAGCAGACCTTCCTGTGGGAATTACTAGAGCAGGGACTGGCAAACTACAGGCAGAGTATTTCTGTGCAGTCCTCGAGCTGAGAATGGTTTGTTTTGCACACACACACACACACACACACGCACACACCCACTGGAGATATTCAGTCACCACGCTAAACTGTCCTGGGGAGCTTGTGTTGTAGCGGGGGAAGACAGTTTGCCACATGGGAGAAGTGCTATGGAGAAAAACAGAGAGAGGGCAAACGGAATGCTAGTGAGCAGGGAGCTGCCACCTTCCACAGGAAGCTCCAGGAGCTCCCTGAGGTGAAGTGGGAGGTGGTGACTCACGCAGACCCAGCATAAGAACTCCGGGCAGAGGAGCCGATGCAGGAGCCCCGGGAACGGAGCATGCTTGGCAGGGCGACTGCAGTGGCTTGGAGTGACCAGAGATGAGGTCAGTGAGGACAGGGGAGCAGATAAGGGCCTTCCTAAGGTCTTCCGCTGAGATGGAAAACTGTGGAGAACTCTCGGCAGCAGAGAGAATCTGATTTACATGAAAAGCCTCACTGGGCAATGTGTTAAATTACTCCACAATGTTGGGAAGTAGGGGCAGACATAGGAAACCTATAAGACAGTTATAATATAATCCAGGCAAGAGACACTGGTAGCTTGGACTAGTAATAGTCAAAGTGGTGGGATTCTGAGTAAATCTCAACCGGCAACAGAAACTCTTGTTGATGGCTTGTCATCTCTATGAGAGGAGTCGTCAAAAGGCCCCCAAAACTGCTGCCGGACGAGAGGGACGAAGTTGCCAATAATACTTGTTGGGAAGATTTGGTGAGTTTGCGGAAAACAAGTTTGGCACTTAGCTATGACTGACGTTCAGGAGAGAGGTGCAAACTGGAAACGAATGTCTGGGAGACGTTAGTGGACAGGACACTGAAGTGAGTTTAGAGAAACACGAGTCAGAGGACAGAGCGGAGGAGGAGAAAGGCAAGGCAGTCTGATCTTCCTGGAGACAAAAAGGGCCTCACCCACGAGTCGGGCATCTCCTGTGTCAGGCGCTGCTGGACGGTGCGAAGAAAACTGAGACTGAGAACAGACCTGGACTTCCCACATGGAAAACGCCAGTGACTTAACAGCAGCCAACTTCTGGGATTTGGTGGCGTTGTGGGGAGATGAGGAAATAGCACAGACAGAAGTACTTTAAGGAAAATTTGACCCCAAAGGAGAGAGATGTGGCTGGAGATGGAAGCAAGAGTATTCTGAAAATTATTCTACCGCTGTTCGCCGGCTGACGGGTGATGTATGAGAACCCACCGAAGCAGGACTCTGGCGGGATGTCCCAAGGATGCTGACAAATCCTCTCCCGCAAAGGAAACCTGGGCAGAGCTGTCAGAACCAGCCGTGTCCGTGCCGTGGGTACGGACCGCAGGCATGCAACACACCGGGGAGCTCCTCTGAGACATCCCGCCTCCCGCCCCCTCTGCTCTGTGGCACTAGTTCAACTAGGACAGCAAGGATATGGAATTAAGTGAAAATCTCCCCACAAAGAAAAGCCCAGGCTGTGGTGGCTTCACGGGCGTCTGCCAAACATTTAAGTAAACAATGCCAATCCTCCACAGACTCCTGTGTGCTGCTTCCCAGGCACAGCCAGTCTGGAAGACAGACAGGCTGGCAGCTTCTTTAATAATCTAAGCACAGATGTAATATATGGCCTAGGACTCGTGCGCCCAGGTATGTATGTAAGTGAACTGAAAATGTGGGTTCACGCAAATGTGTATAAGCAGTTTTATTCATAATCGCCAAAATTTGAAGCAACCAAGATGCCCTTCACTGTGCAAACATAAACGACTGTGGTACACCACACAGTGCAATGGTATGCAGCGATAAAGAGAAACAAGCTGTTGACTTGCAGGATTCATCCATGCAACATGGG